GTCCTGGAATATGGGTATCTGACCCTTACGGACTAACCGGAAAGGTCCAACCTGTAAATCCGGCGTGGGGCGTCGAGGGGTTTGACCCTTTTGTTCCGGGAGGAATAGCTTCTCATCATATTGCAGCAGGGACGTTGGGTATATTAGCGGGCTTATTTCATCTTAGTGTTCGTCCGCCTCAACGTCTATACAAAGGATTACGTATGGGAAATATTGAAACCGTCCTTTCCAGTAGTATTGCTGCTGTCTTTTTTGCAGCTTTTGTTGTTGCTGGAACTATGTGGTATGGTTCTGCAACTACTCCCATCGAATTATTCGGTCCTACTCGTTATCAATGGGATCAGGGATACTTTCAACAAGAAATATATCGAAGAGTTAGTGCTGGACTAGCTGAAAATCAAAGTGTATCAGAAGCTTGGTCTAAAATTCCTGAAAAATTAGCTTTTTATGATTATATTGGTAATAATCCAGCAAAAGGGGGGTTATTCCGAGCGGGTTCAATGGACAATGGGGATGGAATAGCTGTTGGATGGTTAGGACACCCCGTCTTTAGAAATAAAGAAGGGCGTGAACTTTTTGTACGCCGTATGCCTACTTTTTTTGAAACATTTCCGGTTGTTTTGGTAGATGGAGACGGAATTGTTAGAGCCGACGTCCCGTTTAGAAGAGCAGAATCCAAATATAGTGTCGAACAGGTAGGTGTAACTGTTGAGTTTTATGGTGGTGAACTCAATGGAGTGAGTTATAGTGATCCCGCAACTGTGAAAAAATATGCTAGACGGGCTCAATTGGGTGAGATTTTTGAATTAGATCGTGCTACTTTGAAATCCGATGGTGTTTTTCGTAGCAGTCCAAGAGGTTGGTTTACTTTTGGGCATGCTTCGTTTGCTCTACTTTTCTTCTTTGGACATATTTGGCATGGTGCTAGAACCCTCTTCAGAGATGTTTTTGCCGGTATTGATCCCGATTTGGATGCTCAAGTGGAATTTGGGGCATTCCAAAAACTTGGAGATCCAACTACAAAAAGACAAGCAGTCTGATGCAACATTGCTTTTTTGCGTCTAGTTTCTGTTTGCAATTTTATTTAATAGGTAGGGTACTGTAGGAATCTTTAATTAAATTGCTGCCGTTTCTTTGACTCTTTTTCTTTCTTTATCCGGAGGGATACTCCTAAATAAACATCTCCTAAATAAACATAAACAAAACAGGTATGAAAGCTATAATTGTAAACCACGATCAAATTTATGGAAGCATTGGTTTATACATTTCTCTTAGTATCTACTTTAGGGATAATTTTTTTCGCTATTTTTTTTCGGGAACCACCTAAAATTTCAACTAAAAAATGAAATAATTTTTTATTATCTTCATTGACGTAATCAGCCTCCAAATATTTGGAGGCTGATTACGTCAACTAGTCCCCGTGTTCCTCGAATGGATCTCTTAGTTGTTGAGAGGGTTGCCCAAAGGCAGTATATAGAGCATACCCGGTAAAACTTACAAGTAACCCAGATATAAAGATGGCGACTAGGGTTGCTGTTTCCATTATTATAAAATTGAAAGACCACAATGGATCTATGCTAAGATCGTTTATTTACAACGGAATGGTATACAAAGTCAACAGATCGTAATGAATACAAAATAAGATTTATGGCTACACAAACTGTTGAAGATAGTTCTAGATCGGGTCCAAGAAGCACTACTGTGGGGAAGTTATTGAAACCATTGAATTCCGAATATGGTAAAGTAGCTCCTGGATGGGGAACCACCCCTTTGATGGGTGTTGCAATGGCTCTATTTGCGGTATTCCTATCCATTATTTTGGAGATTTATAATTCTTCTGTTCTACTGGATGGAATTTCAGTGAATTAGACTGAGAAGAATCTTGAAGTCCTAGCTTTTAGTTCGATACAAAAAAGGAAAGTATGTAGGTCTAAAAATTTTAGCCTATTCTCCTTTGGTAGTTCGACCGCGAAATTTTTTCTGCATTGTATATTTCCGGAATATGAGTGTGTGACTTGTTAGAATTGACCCTATGGATAGTACAGAGAATGGGGTCTGTCATCTTTATCAAGATGGTTTTACTTCGTCGGATATTCATTCGAGTATCTGAAGCACGAAATGGATCAAATAGATCACAAAGTATTCGAACTATGATTCATACTTAATACTCAGACCTCGTAGCCGGACTTCTTTCCGTTCTATCTTAGAAACTTTAATAAATCAAAATCTTTTCTGCTTTTAAACTCTTATTTGGATCAAAGGACAAATGCTTCTTTGTATTTGATTTTTTTAGTGTTATTTTAGTTAGTTTTTTGATTGAATAAGTGATGATCCAACGGTTCTCACTCAGTGAACTTTTGGCTTTGAAGGTTTCATTGAATTATCGTGGTTCTCGTATGAATCTGAGGTTTCAATTGATTAGTTAAATAGGGTCTTAACAAGAGAATTCCTATCAATAATAAAGAAAACAAGAAGAAATCCGCATTCCCATTCCATACAAATACCAAATAAAAAAAACAATAAAGATAGGCAATCGAGAAGATTCAAGAAGCCAGTACAACATAAAAACGTATGAGCTGACTTGATTTTTTGGCATTTAACCACAAAGAAGAGCTTTCGCATTTTGACTCTTTCATATCTTTAAATAATATTGAATGAGAGAGAAATTGAAAACTTTATATTCCATATCTGTTTCAATGAGTCTTTGGGTCTTTTTTTGTTTGAGCTGTACGAGATGAAATTCTCATATACAGTTCTTGGAGGGGGAGTACCACCTATCTCAATAAAGTTTATGATTGGTTCGAAGAACGTCTTGAGATTCAGGCGATTGCAGATGATATAACTAGTAAATATGTTCCTCCGCATGTCAACATATTTTATTGTCTAGGAGGAATTACCCTTACTTGTTTTTTAGTACAAGTAGCTACGGGATTTGCTATGACTTTTTATTACCGTCCAACTGTTACGGAGGCTTTTGCTTCTGTTCAATATATAATGACTGAAGCTAACTTTGGTTGGTTAATCCGATCAGTTCATCGATGGTCGGCAAGTATGATGGTCCTGATGATGATCCTGCACGTATTTCGTGTATACCTCACCGGTGGTTTTAAAAAACCTCGCGAATTAACTTGGGTTACTGGCGTGGTTCTGGGTGTATTGACCGCATCTTTTGGTGTAACAGGTTATTCTTTACCCTGGGATCAAATTGGTTATTGGGCAGTCAAAATTGTAACAGGTGTACCTGACGCTATTCCGGTAATAGGATCGCCTCTTGTAGAATTATTACGTGGAAGTGCTAGTGTTGGACAATCCACTTTGACTCGTTTTTATAGTTTACACACTTTTGTATTACCTCTTCTTACGGCCGTATTTATGTTAATGCATTTCCTAATGATACGTAAGCAAGGTATTTCGGGTCCCTTATAAATAATATAGATTCTAGATATTTGTAATTACTCATTTATCTTATTACTTGGTGAAGGAACGGTAGTATTTTATATTTTATTGCTATAAATATGGATTATTAACAAAATAAGACATGTATTTGGATATTTCCCTTCAACTCCACAATATTGTATTATTTTTTTGACATAAAAGTTGAAGGGAATTCTATGAAGAGAAAGTGGATTATGGGAGTGTGTGACTTGAACTATTGATCGGGGCCGTGCAGAAATATGACTTTATCTGCTACATTGGAATTCACAACCAAATGTGTCTTTGTTCCAACCACTGTGTAAGCCCCATACAGGGGATAGGCTGGTTCACTTGAAGAGAATCTTTTCTATGATCATACCCGACGATGTCGTGGATGAGTGGGCTCCGTAAAATCCAGTAGATCTAGTAGATTAAGAGATGGAACAAAATCCTGATTGTGTTTTTAGCTATTTTTTACGAAAAAAAAAAAAAAAAATTAATAGTATGTAAATGCATTCATTTCCTCTGCATCAACTCGATTTATGATACTATCGGAGTGAATACAGGATCTAATGAAAAGTAGAGGGTAGACTCCATTAGTAACAAGTAAATCCTTTATATTTGAAAAACCTCGATATAATTTTTGAGATTAAGGACGAATTTATAAGGTATGAGACGATCCAGAAAGCACTTAATTATGATCAACTTTTTAAGCTTACGTGGGTGTTGAGCATTTATCTGTAAGAATGGAATTTATGGCAATCTTTTAGTTGCAATAACTTTGGAATCGGATAATTCTTTTTTTTTACATATTAAATACTTGTGGATAACATATATATATTTTGTATGTATTAATTTAGTTTCGTTAATTCTTGCTCGAGCCGGATGATGAAAAATTATCATGTCCGGTTCCCTCGGGGGATGGATCCATAAGAATTCACCTATCCCAATAACAAAAAAACCAGATTTGAATGATCCTGTATTACGAGCTAAATTAGCTAAAGGTATGGGTCATAATTATTACGGCGAACCCGCATGGCCCAATGATCTTTTATACATTTTTCCAGTAGTCATTCTTGGTACCATTGCCTGTAACGTCGGCTTAGCTGTTTTAGAACCATCAATGATTGGTGAACCTGCGGATCCTTTTGCAACTCCTTTAGAAATATTACCTGAATGGTATTTCTTTCCTGTATTTCAAATACTTCGTACAGTGCCTAACAAATTATTAGGTGTTCTTTTAATGGCTTCAGTACCAGCGGGATTATTAACCGTACCCTTTTTAGAAAATGTTAATAAGTTCCAAAATCCATTTCGTCGTCCAGTAGCGACAACCGTCTTTTTGATTGGCACCGTGGCGGCCCTGTGGTTAGGTATTGGAGCAACATTACCAATTGATAAATCTCTAACTTTAGGTCTTTTTTAATTAAATTTATTCAATTGTAAAATAAAAGACGTGGGTATCTAGGGAGTAGTCATTTCAAAATGAATTCTCCCTAGATACATATTTAATTAATTAAAATGGGTTCGACTGACATTTTTCAGAATCTCTCTTCAGATTTGCTTGTAGTTTACTTAGACAAGAAATGAAGCAGATCATTATAAACCTTGAGACGCAAGATATCAAAGCATTGGAGAAAGCTGGAGAGAAAGATGAGATTGAAAAGGTAAGAATTTTCTCTCATTAATGTATCAAACACTTTCAAAGTTTTCATATAGTTTACTCAATGAGATTTATGTATATTAGGCATCGAGAGAAAGCGTCGTGAAGCAAATGGAAGAAGGGAAAGCTCTCATCACAGGATCAAGCGGCTCGGGATCAAACGAGGCGTTTGCTTTGATCATTGATGGGAAGTCGCTAACGTACGCTCTTGAAGATGATTTCAAGAAGAAGTTTCTTGATTTAGCCACAGGATGTGCCTCTGTTATCTGCTGCAGATCATCACCTAAACAAAAGTCATTGGTACGTAATGTCTCTGTGGTCTTTTGTTTTCCAAGGAAATGGCGGTTTCGGTTTGGTTAATAGTAAGATTTGTGTGTTTCAGGTTACGCGGTTGGTCAAAACTGGAACCGGGAAGACAACTTTAGCGATTGGAGATGGAGCAAACGATGTTGGAATGCTTCAAGAAGCAGACATTGGTGTTGGAATCAGCGGTGTTGAGGGGATGCAAGCTGTTATGTCTAGCGATATAGCCATCGCTCAGTTCCGATACTTAGAGCGTCTCTTGCTCGTCCATGGTCACTGGTGCTACAGCAGAATCTCATCAATGGTTAGATTTTGTCTCTCTTGGAAACATTCTCTCTATACATACATCATCACATTTTGTCTCTAACCAGGTTTTGTTTCCTACTATGTAGATTTGTTACTTCTTCTACAAGAATATAACGTTTGGTGTCACCGTTTTCTTATACGAAGCCTACACATCCTTCTCTGCTCAACCTGCATATAACGACTGGTTTTTATCGCTTTTCAACGTCTTCTTCTCTTCGCTTCCCGTAATTGCTCTTGGAGTTTTTGATCAAGACGTATCAGCTCGCTTCTGTTACAAGGTACCTAAACATTACCCTTTCGTAAACCCTAAAAAAGACCTAAATTCCTCTGAATCGCTGATCAAATGTTTCCTTTTCCGTCGCAGTTCCCGTTGCTATACCAAGAAGGAGTTCAAAATCTTCTCTTCAGCTGGAAGAGGATCATCGGATGGATGCTCAACGGACTCATGACAGCCCTTGCGATTTTCTTCATCTGCAAGGAATCTCTAAAACACCAACTCTACAACCCTAACGGCAAAACCGCCGGCCGAGAAATCCTCGGAGGGACAATGTACACTTGTGTAGTCTGGGTGGTCAATCTACAAATGGCTTTAGCCATAAGCTATTTCACTTGGGTCCAACACATTGTAATTTGGGGCTCAGTTGCTTTCTGGTACATCTTTCTCATGATATATGGAGCCATGGCTCCTAGCTTCTCCACAGATGCTTACAAAGTCTTCATCGAAGCCCTAGCTCCAGCTCCATCTTACTGGCTCACCACTCTCTTCGTGATGATCTTGGCTTTGATCCCTTACTTTGTCTTCAAATCGGTTCAGATGAGATTCTTCCCGGGTTACCATCAAATGATTCAGTGGATCCGGTACGAAGGTCATTCAAATGATCCTGAATTTGTGGAAATGGTTAGGCAAAGATCGATTCGGCCCACGACGGTTGGTTTCACGGCTAGAAGAGCCGCTAGTGTACGACGGTCAGGTAGGTTTCATGATCAGCTTAATAAGAATTTCATTGCTTTCTGAAGAGAAAACATAAACAGAAAGCCCTCAGTGTTTGTGCATATAGACTTGTATATAGAGCTATCATCTGGGGAAAGCTAAGGTTCTTTTTGTTATATCTTGTGATTCCTTTGTCTCGAAAGGCATAAAATAGGATTCACTTTACTCATAAAATATATCTATATTTTTACTATTTTGTATGTAACATTTTCTACGTCTAAGCTTCATTTTGTTTGATTTTTTTTTGTGTGGTATAACTGTATTAATAACTGATAAATAATCGTATTTTTGGAGTTGATTTTCAAAAACATCTAGACATGTGCAATTTCAAAATTGGTGGGTGAGATTTACTAGCATTAAGAACTAATTACAATAGTCATGAAGCTTATAACGGTTACAATTCTTAAAAAGTAGTATATGATTATATGTTCTTCAATCCAGATTACACATACGGAACAAATATTGTATAATTTCAAGCATATTACACATACGACATAAATATTATATGAGTTGCTCTCCTCATTCTTTCTCTCATAAACTCATTATGATCACATCATCCACAAACTTAACTTAAAAAATTTACAAATCAAAATATGAAAATGAAAACAAGAACTTAGAGTTGATTAGCCAACATAATAATTATTGTGCATGTGAGTCTTCAACGCATGTCTAATTTCGAACCTTTTCTGTTCTTTGATTTGTTAGAAGTTTTTTTTTCCTTTACGTTGCGACGTTACGAGTTATAATTCTAGTATGTACAATATGTGTGTGGTATGTGTAATCAGTAATCAACTTGATTGTGCCTATAATTCTATTATACTATACAATTCACTAAAGTAAGAAAAATATAAGTTTGCATATTAAACATTCACTTTGACGTATCGTGCATCTAACACAACATCATCTCCAAACTGAATATTCAATATGCAAACTTATTTAGTTTGATGGTTAAAAATGCTAATTGAAAAGTCCCAAGGTTTAATGTTCCTTTTTTAAAACATCTAAGACTTCTTATCATTTTTTTCACATACTATAAAGTACAGTAGAAACTCTATAAATTAATACTCGATAAATTAATAAACACGATAAATTAATAAATTTCTCTGGTCCTGAGTTGGGCCGGTGTAAAATATGACACAATTCGATAAGATAATAAGATAATAACTTTTTTTGAAATCCTATGTAAAATATAGTCCCAATAATATCATAAATTAATAATTATTTTTATTTTTATATATATACACCTAAAATATCTAACTACTAAAATATGAATCTCTTAGACACCAAACATATATGGAAATTAAAAACAAAAAAAGGAATTTTAAATAATATGGCAAGTATGAGAAAATGTAAACAATGAAGTAAATATAGAAACATGTGAAAATAATTAAGAAAATATAAAATAATGATTCTTTTTTTTTTGAAAATATTTGTAGTCAAAATCTATATATTAATAACTCTATAAATTAATAAAATATCAAAGTCCCGACATTATTAATTTATAGAGTTTCTACTGTAATTAGTTTTTTTAACTGTTTAAACCGATTTCACCTGACCACCATTGCCAATTTATTATCCCCTCGATTTTATTTCTCTTTTAATCGGAACTTCTTGTTGGGTTCAACTTTGTAAAAGTAGAGGCCCAACATGGGGAATATGAGTTCTATTAGAGGCCCAACATGGGCAACTTCGAAAAATTGCACCGCGAAGCTTTCATCACACTGTCACAGTACCACCGCTTGTAAGTTGTATCTTCTGAAATTTGTCCTTCATACGTAGATGACAAGATCAACCGAAGTCACCGGAGCAATAATCCAGAGATTCTTCGGAGGATAGGAAAACAAAACATCAGTCGGAACGCTTCCGGGAAAGCTCCAACCCTACTAGCTCAGCTTCATGATCAACCAAACCAATTATCCCCAACTCAAATCTTCAACACTAAGAGAACCTCCACTTCAGTTTGACCGATTTAACGGAAAGAGAACACTTACACGAGCATGAACCGGTGAAATGGATCTTGACAGAACTTCTGGAATTTGAAAACTTCCACGTAGACGGAAGACTCTACACACTTTCAAAAGGCTATGGAACACACATCAAAATGCGTTAAACGGAAAGATTATGTTTCCAACAAATTTCCAGTACTCTCCCCTTTTCAGAAACTATGTTCACGCCACAGAGAAAACAGTGGATGTCTCTTGAAGGTACTTGGCTTGCACTCCAAGTCACCGTATATTTCATTAGCAAAAGCCAGCCAAGCAAACGGATCGGTCTATTGATTGGTTCACTGAACCATATAGCAAACATCCAGGTTGCTGCCTAAGACTATTCCGGCTATTTCTGGTTCAGGTTGATTGCCTAAATTTATGTGATTCGGTTAGACACATGATATATCAAGTGTAAATAGTCGGTGGTTTCGTTAATTAGATAGCTAGAGAGTTGTTTATCTCATTGCTCTGATTCAGTAAATGTATTGTATATAAGGGGAACAGAGTTTGTTTATTCACAATGAATGAGAAAGAGCATTCTTTACAATAAACTCTAATTACTCATATGTTGCGAAATAAGAGCAGTTTCGAGTAGGCCAAGGTTGGAACCAACCTTGACGTAAGGAAAGAATAATCTTGAATTATTACTTAAAGCCCCTTCTTCTCCACACCAAGCTACTTATTTATCATGTGAATTGAATGATTCTACCCTTACTGTCTTCAAATCGATGTAATACCACGTAGGATTCACTTTACTCAAAAAAAAAATATCTTATCTCTATTTCATTATTCTGTATGTAACATTTTACGTCCAGGCTTCATTTTGTTTGATTTATACTTTTTTTGTAAATGATATATAATCCCATTTTTCTGGAGATGATTTTTTTTTAAAACAACTAGACGTTGTAATTGAGTGCGATCGAGAATGATTCGATGATTTCTTTTTTAGCATATTTGATTGTTCCGTTGTAAACGAAGGTAACTTGTGTTTACTTTCAAGTTTACCATGGGTAGATGTAGAGATTTAAAGTCACTGATTAATCTATCATTTGTGGATTTAACTCGAGTCCATCAATTAATTTGCAAGAAATTTCATATATAGGAAGGGGAATAATAGTGTGAACTAGGAACAACACTGACACACCAGTTGTTATCTTCTAACAAAAGTAAAATCTGACACATGACGACATAGGTGGTTCTCTCTTTGCAATTAATAGTTTGTTAGTTGTAAATGTGGATTAGAACTTATCGGGATCCTCCTTTTTCAGATCATTATTAACATCTGCGAAAACCCAAATTTTCCCCTAGTGTGAGCCTCAAATTAACGTTGAAATTACTTACAATTCAAAAAAAAAAAAAAAAAAAGAAATGTTGAAATTACTTCCCGGCGGAAGAGTCGAAATCACCTGTTTTCGTTCCTTCCTTTTTCTGTCACCGTTCCTTTCCGGAGATGAAGACATCCCCTGTTTTCTCTTGTGGCGTCAACACAGCCTCCGAAAAGGGATTCACTGAGAATGACGAAATTTTAGAACCCTAATTTTTCCAATTGAATATTCTCTCTCTCTTGCTACAAGTACATCGGCGTTGAGAATTTGAAGTCCCGATCAAAAGGAAATAAAATCGAGGGGTTTAGAATTGGTCGATGCAATTTATGATTAGGTCGGTTTAAAAAGATACCCTCTACTAGATCGACGCACAAAGGACTCGTTTTTGTGATTTATAGCAATAGTCAAGAAGCCAAATATAAGAGATTTCATCAACATAAAAGCTCATGATATTAGACTCATGAAAGGTTCTTACACACCACACCATAATTACATGAAAGGTTCTTACACACCACACCACACCACACCAAATTACACACCACACAACACAAATATTGTAAAATTTCTTAAAGCGTATTCCACACACCACACATATCTTATATAAATATTCTAGCATATTTACACATACCATATCATTTCACGTTATCCACCTTCCTTGTTCTTCACTCGCCATGATCACTTCTTCTTTATCCCCTGCGAGATGCTCCCATCATTCTTCCTTTTCTTCCCTTTGTCCAATTTCTGCACCTCATCAACACTGAGCGATCATTCTGATCTCATTCTTCCCGTATATTGCTGCAAACTGGTAGTACTTGGCGATCATCTCATAGTTCCAAGTCATCTTTTTCTTTTCTTTTGAAGAGAGAGAGAATTGAACAGAGAAATGAAGATAAATTAATTGGAATATGATGACTCTGTACGTAAGACCACATATATCAGACTTGTGTTGAGTTTCATATTTTTTTTGGCTATATGGTTTGTTTAACAATGATAATTTTATAGGCAACTTCCTTGCATCTTCCTTTGTGTGTTAAATTTGATTTAAAAAAAAAAAACTATTTTTAAAAAATTTGGGACATCATATTTTTATCTTCCTTTCTTATACTAATTCACCGCATGGTCTTTATATACATTTATAGCTCATATAATCTCTCAGAAAACGTTGTCACAAATTTAAAAGTCACATGTATTATACTATTATATAGCTCATAATCTCTCGGAACCATGCCCAAGATCGAGCCAGGCCATGAAATAAAAGTCAGTATGTAATGTACGTATGAATCATCACTCATGTTACTTTACTTTCCTCACACACACCAAAATGACGGAATGGAATTATAATTTTGTAGTCTCTTTTGTAGAGTTACTACAAATTGAGGTTTATGATGAATAACATGAATATCAAAATTCCCAACTAATTTACACAAAAAAATCGCTATTTTCTATTTTGATTGGCTTTTTTTATGTGGCTTCGCTTTGGTTTGGATTGGTTAAACCGGACTGACCATCCCTTTCGATAGGATTATCTATCTTTATGTTAATTTGCGATTTACCTTATATTTCGGTTATATTGCATATGTTCCCTATAAGGTAAAGAAGCTTCCAAATTCAGTCCTCTGTATAAAAAACATTTTGGTTCTTCCTCCTTAAGTTCAAACTTTTTCATTCCATGCTCAAACTTTAAAATGTAGGTGCTGTATCGAAGAGAAAA